TGTTTTGATTCTATGTGTAGTTAATGGGATTTTGACACAAACAAGATTTTCCATAATGACCGCGCCAATTTGCATATTGAATACATATTCAGCACAAAATATTTGTGTAAACTTTACTGAAATGGCCTAAACTGATTCTTTACCCCTCAAAACATGGGAATAGGCACCGAAATCATGTTGATACAATGTGTAGTAAATGAGATATTGACGAATACAAAATTTTCTGTAATGGCTACCTTAATTTGCATATTATTCGAATTGCCCAAGGGTGACAGAGTGGCATCATCCACATTCTTAAAAAGCACGCTTCAGAGGTATAGAAACAGCAAAAAAACATTGTATGGACCGAATTGCACGCTTTTCGGTCTCTGCCACCAGACTATCTACAACGTACATGCACAAGTAAATTTCCAAAAATAGGAAAACACAGGCTGAACACATTGTTTCACAGACATCATGATAACAATGGCTGAAACCAAATTCGTGTAATGAAATGAACCATTTTCTTTTAATTTTATTTTATAAGTGAAAGCGCATCTGTGCAACTACCACTACCAGCAGTTCGTTCAATTCGTCGTACCATTCGCAAACAGAGACAGGCAGCAGGAAATCCACACCCTATCCCAGCAAATATGGGCGATCTCATCATACCGGAAGAATATAAGGTAATAATATTTTTTTGAACCTGAACATTAAAGCTATGCACTGTTTTTTCTACGAACTGACCAAAATCGGGTTTTCATGTATGAAGTAAAAACTTAACTATTGCATTTACTATTAAGTCAAATCTGTTTCTCTCACTGCTACTAATTACATTGTACATTCGGTAATGGACGACTTTGACACTGGGATATCTCTCCCCTTACCGTGTACAGTATAAATCAATATATGCAACCAAAGTATATATATATATATCAAATATATATCATGTTTATCTGCTGGAGATTCACAATAGTGTGATGTCATTCTAACCAATTTTATTTTATTATTTCTAGGTCACACCTCAAGGCGATCGTTTCTTGCAATACGACAGGGGGATGTAAACAACTGTGTTCTCATTTTTGCCACAGACACTGGCTTAAATGTTGTACAAAACTCGACTAACTGGTTTGCCGATGGTACTTTCAAAGCTGTCCCGGAATTGTTTTACCAGCTATACAATATCCATGCTTTGATGGAACAATATACAGTTCCATATGTGCATGCACTGTTACCAAACAAACAAGAAGCCACTTATACAAGACTTGTTCACTAGATTTTCGATATAAGACAACAACTGAATCCCACGTCCATCATGAGTGACTTTGAATCAGCAGCAATTAATGCTGCCGGCACTGTATTTCCTAATGCAACAAGGAAGGGGTGATTTTACCATCTGTCACAGTGTGTTTACAGAAGAGTACAGGCTGAAGGACTACTGCAACGATACCAAGAAGACAATGACTGTGCGTTAGAAGTATGCATGCTTCCAGCGCTGGCATTCGTACCAGAAGAGGAAGTGATTGACGCATTTGAGACTTTGCAACAAGAATTATCCGATGAAGCCAATATTATAGGAGATTATTTTGAAGATACATGTACATTTATTGAACGCGAACGTGGACGACGCCACAACAGTCATCGGCAGCAACCAAGATTTCCTATATCACTGTGGAACATGCATGAGAGGATTGAAGCAGACCTGCCCCATACCAATAATCACATCAAGGGTTGGCATCAAAGATTTCAAACCAATGTTGGCGCCCACCATCCAACGTTATGGAGATTTCTTGAAGTACTACGTTGCGAACACAGTTTTAATGAGGTGATTATTAACCAAATAATCCACCACCACAACGAAGAGCATACCATGCCCGATCCGCCGCCATAAAGCGTATTGTACAGACAGACCTACGCGGTATCGCACATAATAATAGTGTCTGATTTTAGAAAATGAAAAATTACAAAAAAAAGTGATAATAATCGAGTTTTACCTGCAAGGATTTTATTTTTTATAAAGTTAAGCTCAATAAATAAAAAAGATGACAAAAAACACAATCATCTTTATTCACAAATAAATACTTGTTAAATTTCTAAAAAAGGGGGGCAAAATTACCAGCGGGCAGTAGGCCGGGGGGCAACGGGCCGGGGGGTAAATGGCCGGGGGGTCAAATGGCCGGGGGCAAATGGCCGGGGGGCAACCTGCCTGCTCCATTTTGCAAACCTAATTGTGTTGTTGAAATCTATACTGCATAAAATAGAGAGTTAATTTTATAATTATTTAATGTTACCTGGTTACTGAATATTTTAATGTGTCATTCAAGTCATTAACATAAAGATTAAAAAGCATTGGACTTATAGTACATCCCTGTCTCAAACCCTTATTTGTATTAAATATTGGAGATATTTTTTTGCCAAAGCGAATACATGTTTTAGTATCGTTATACATGTTTTTAATTAAATGATAAAGTTTCCCATCAATTCCGTTTTTTAATAATTTATAAAATAAACCATCCCTCCAAACAGTATCGAAAGCCTTGCAGAAATCTACAAAGCATGTATATAGTTTACCATTTTGTTTCAGGTATTTATTAACTATTGTTTTTAGAGTAAAAATGTGATCAGCAGTCTGATAACCTTTTCTAAACCCAGCCTGATTGTTATTTATAATATTATGCTTCTCAGAAAAATCACATAACCTATTATTGACTAAATTACAGAACACTTTACCTATACAACTAGAATCTGCTACCCCCCTATAATTTCCTGGTTCGTCCTTATCCCCTTTTTTAAAATATGAGTAATTATACTTGTATTCCAGATGTTAGGATAAATGCCTGTATTGAATATTAAATTATACAATTTATGGAGTGGTTTAATTAGATGGTTTTTACTGTTTTTTATAAGTTCTGCACAGAACCCATCATATCCAGCTGATGAAATTTTTTAAAAGAAATAGGAAAAAAAAAAAAAATAGGAAAAAAAGAAAAAGTTGGCAATAACTCTAATTTACATTTAATAAATTAGTAGTAAATTGAATTGTGTAATAATGGTAAAAATATTGATCTAATTATTCTTGACCACATTAATATTGGTGACTTACCCTGCCATAAGAGAAAATTCAATCATTTGAATGAATGCTAATACTTGACATACTAAATTTTGTTGGTTTTGGTGTAGAAGACTTAGAAGGTAAGCTTTGCAAACGTTCATAAAATTGTCTGTGATGAACACACACCAATTATTTCACAGACTCACTAATATCCAAAACTTTAAAAATTTGCCACCAAAGACACAATTCATAGCCTTGCTAAACAACAGTGGCCTAACACTCCCCGTAGCAAGGTACCTAAAGAAGTGTTTTGAAATAAGACAGCAACCCCAGTGACAACCTTCTCTCACTATATGAGTTTTGCATTTTGTCTTCTATCTATCGTAGTATCATAATTTTATACTTGCTATTATTTGTGATGTATTAGCTTAGATTGTTTTTTTTTGTTTTTTTTTATCTATACATGTATACTGTATTGTAACCTTTTATTCCTTTTTAAACTTTTGTAACCATTGCCAATCCCTCCGGGGAATGTGTAAGTGTTAATAAAATTATTATTAAAATTATTATAATTCGAAATAGGATTTCTAGAAATTTAGGTTTCTCTCGTATTTTGTGATCATATCAGTGTTTGAAATTACTAGTCGCCCAAGCCCATCAAGTTTTCTGCCAAGATGCAAAGTTTTGTAATGTCGTCCTAAGTTGTCCAACTATACTTTTTTTGAGCAGTAAGTTATAGCTGATGAACATCAGAAAATGAATACACTATCTAGTAAACTATGGCTAAGAAAATAGTAATTATGTGTGAGCAGTGACTCAAACACGTGTATGATTAGGTTTACTAGGGTTTTACGTTCTTGGTTATGCACCAATACCTAAAATAATGCATTATCATTTTTTTTTTTTGTGAATATACAGCCACCAAGTAAGAAGCAGAAATAGTATGACAAAGATAAAAGCAACATGCCATTCATTACTATTTCTTTTTTCAAATATTTTGTATAAATATTCACCAGCTTGGCTTCTTGTTATATGTTTGAATATCTGAACATCACATTTTAATTCTTGGGATCTAACACATGAACTTTCAATTTTGATCTGCAAACATTGCTTCTAAGGGTGTTTTGGTTTGGGTATTGTCTACCTTTCTCTATTTCTAATATGTAACTGCTTATTCTGAAACAAGGTATATAATTTTATGTTTCAAATTACGTACAAGTAGGAGCAAATATGATCAAAAAATGTATGAATATGTATATATACGTTCTCAGTTTTCTATTATCATTTGTTACGTTCAACTTTCAGAACTCTACATATACCTGTCGTATATTGTTTTGTATGTATTTTATTTTACTAGAGGTGTGACAGACAAAAACAAATTTGCAGTATTTTCGAAGAACATGTTTTTGACTGATGTGATGTGATTTTTTTTTTTCACTTTTGAAAGCTAGGCTTGTCTGGTAAGTCAATAAAACGAGATCAGTATTTAAAAGATTTTCCTGAATATCTATGAGTACTAGTAATCAAAGTGTAGCACTTACATGCAGCAATTGAGCAGAATTCATTTACACCTGGTATTTCTATATCCTAATGTAAATTTATTTACAAGGAGGCAATAAAGTTATTATTATATTACCCGATCGAGAGGATTTTTATCCATTTTGATTGGAATATACATGTATAGTCTAAAAATATATGAATCTTCATTTGGTGGGCCGAGATGTACATTGATTTCTTTACTTTTTATGTAGTTTTCTTTTACTAATATCTGATTTGTAACCCTTTTCATCCCCTCTGGGGGGTGTTGTGTGTTGATAAATAAATCACTAAATCACAGAACACAGACAAAATATCCCCATGCAGGACTTTTCTCCCTATCGAAATATGCATCCTGATGACTGCATGGTCTTAGCAAGTAGTGTAAGAATATCCGACGTAACATGTGAAAAAAAACACACATAGAAATTACCTGTACTATGTCTGTAATTACCCACTGAAATATACGAAGTGAGTGGATAGCTGGGCCAGCGAGACCGGCGGCAACAGTGTTGATATGATCTGATCAGCTGATTGAAAAACGATGAAGTCATCGAACGCGCTATAGTGAAGGTATAATTTTGATTGGCTGTTGCCGGTGTCATCCGATGTTTAATAAGCCGCTAGTATAAGACCGCTACAATATATAAAACCAAAGTGTTTGCATACTCCATGAACTGTAGAATCGTTTATAAATAGGACCAGACAAAATAGATCCTAAAACAATAGATTCTAAGACAATGAACAGGTCACTCTCAAATGTATATTCTTGGTAACCTTTGACCTAAAGACCCTCTAAGGCCTTCGACATTTGTTTGATGTTATTTGTATTACCAGTGTCACAGTCCCTCAGTGCATGGAACTATAGTTCATGCTCAGTGTTAACTTGTTTTCCGTTCCGCGATGTTATCCAGCAGTGATTTTGGGTACAATTGCATATTCTGTGTAATATTATCTATTTCACATTCATTAAAAAATGTGGAGATATCTCTTTGTAATCGCTAAAGGGCGATGTGGCAGTCGTGTTTTGCATTTGGATAAGTTTGAGAAGTTGCCAACTTCCTCAGGTATATATTGGCTGGTGAAAAGGAGTATGTCACGCATCGTGTTTCGAATTTCATCGTGACCGTTCCTTTCAGTGTTTCCTTAGTGGGTTGACCTGTTAAATGTGCCTGCTCGCTCTCGGCTCTGGTGTCCCCCTCTGAGACATTTGTAATTCGTGAATGCATGTCACGGCCGATGATCATGAAAAGGCTACTAGAACGTTTTCACGCAAACAATATAGGCGTTGTAAAGCTGTCAATTCCGTGACTATAGAAGGCCCACTCCCTAATTGACGGACTCTATCTAACTTCTAAGTACAAAGTCCTACCTTTTATGCAGTATTGTGTTGAACCTGCGTTAAACTGATGTCCGAAGCCTATCCGCTGCCATTGTACACTGATCACCTACTAGTGGCGTGCTTGACGCCGACGTTAGGTTTCCAGCAAATTTCGATTTGAAATGAGAGAATGTACAGAAATCAGTCCAGTGTTAATCGAAAGCGATTGAAGTCACCCCCTCCGAAGTACCGACACCCCTTGTCACCTAACAGTAGGGGTAGGACAATATATTTAATAGTTATAATTGTACTACGTAGAAGCTACTTCTGTTATTTTATATCATTGTTTACCGGTAAATTGTAAATACGTAAAAAGAACTTTAATAAGAAAATTCTAATAAGATGTTGACCATTTACAAACTCTGATGGATTCTGAAAAAAAAATCAGTGAATAGAAAATGTTCGAAAAGAAATAATTCTACCGAAAAATTCACAGAGTAAAGTATAAAAAAAAACTACTGCAACATTGTCGTGAAAACCGTCTCCCCACAGAGCTCTTAATGCTAAACCCCCAATCTTCTTTTTTTAAATGATTTTAAATGAGCCTACAGTGTCCATAAAGTCTTTCATTCCATACCATACTGCTGTGTCAATATTGATATATTTTTATTAATGCATACAATCTCAAAAGAAAGCTCCATGGTTGAAGTAAATCACATTTCATTGCAGTCATGCGTATGTATAATTTTTCTACAAGGCTCATTTGAAAAAAAGAAACAAACGTTGCTGACAACAGGTCAATGACTTAAAATTAATGCATATACAATCTCTTTCAGAAAATCACAATGATAATGAGCTCAGACTAAAGCAAATTCCTGTCAAAGATGGACTGATTTCATGTCGGTTGGTAGTTTTGATAACCAACAGGTCCTTTTGACAAAAATACAAAAAAAAACATGCCATGAACCTGTAGTTTTATAGTCACAACGTCCTTCTAAAATAAAAAGACAAATTACAATAACATATTCTAACTTGCAACATCTTTTGCAGTGCTATCAAGCAGGAGATATGTGTATGCATGCTGGTTACATTTGTTATGCTACACAGTAAGAAATAGGGAGGTGTTGCCAACAGCATTGACACAGATTGATTTACAGAACAATCCAATTAAAAAATGAATGTTTGATTGATAAATAACAACCAAATCAATGTATGCAAAAATTAATTACCCGCTCCTAAATGTGTTTCTGCGAAAACGTAAAATTTGAAGAAAATCATTGAATACTATTTTGTAATTATCTGCTATTCACTTCTGTGTATGTGTATTATAACGCATACACTACATAGAATTTCATTGCAAGGGAATAACAAATCTTCGAGGAAATCTCAAAATTATAGCAAAAATCTGTGTTTTTAATGTGCAAGTCAAAACTGTATAACTAAAAAGAAATTACCAATTGAAAACCAAACATCGCTAGCTTATATAGATTCAGTACACACCAATACATATTCATACTTCCTCAATAAATGATTTCAAATGTTGAATATATGTTAGAAGATTGAATACCGAGAATTGCCATTCTGAGTTACTCCAAAAACGAACATAGTCACTGAGTACCTGGTAACCATGACGTCTTGACAAAAAATTAGTAAGGACCTTTCAGGAAAAAAGTTTTGATCTAAAATTAACATCATCGCATGATATTTTATAGGAGAATTTATCAAATATGATTTAATTGAAATCCCAATTTTATAACCTTCATTCATATAAACTTTATCTTTGAATTTTTGGGGAACATGTGTCAATACAAAAATATTGTGATTATCAGCTCTGTCTGTTAGGACCTTGAACATGGAGTTTATTTACGTTAATACAAAATAAATTATAGAAACTTTATAATTTAAAAAAAAACATGTGTATTGCATCTCATCCCAGAATTCTATTGTCTAATTTCTCATTAGTATTGAAAACATTAAGATGGGGCATCCTCTTAGATGGTACCATCAATCGTCAGTTTGTACAAGGGCTCAAATCTTGCAGCCGCAGTCTCCTGGTTGGCATAGCTTGTCAAGACATGAACACAGCTGAGCTTCATGCCAAAGAATGGGACATCGAAAAGGTCTACTCTTCTTATGTCGAATTGTTTTCTGATGATAGGATTGATGCAGTGTACATAGCAATCGCTAACAGTTTACACTCTCGCTACACCATGAAAGCCGCTCAGCTAGGCAAGCATTGTTTGGTGGAGAATCCCTTGGCAACTAAGGTTATCTATCACTCTCATTAATTTGTTGATTTATATAATTCAGAATATGTCAATTATTGCAATTTTAATAATAAAATATTATGAATCAGTCATTTGTTTTCAGTGTCCAAATTCAGTCAATTATTGCAATTTTAATAATAAAATATTATGAATCAGTCATTTGTTTTCAGTGTCCAAATTCAGTCAATTATTGCAATTTTAATAATAAAATATTATGAATCAGTCATTTGTTTTCAGTGTCCAAATTCATCCAATTATTGCAATTTTAGTAATAACATAATAAGAATCAATCATTTGTTTTCAGTGTCCAAATTCATCCAATTATTGCAATTTTAATAATAAAATATTATGAATCAGTCATTTGTTTTCAGTGTCCAAATTCACCCAATTATTGCAATTTTAATAATAAAACATTATGAATCAGTCATTTGTTTTCAGTGTCCAAATTCACCCAATTATTGCAATTTTAATAATAAAATAATATGAATCAGTCATATCATTTCAGTGTCCAAATTCACCCAGTTATTGCAATTTTAATAATAATATGAATCAGTCATTTGTTTTCAGTGTCCAAATTCACCCAATTATTGCAATTTTAATAATAAAATATTATGAATCAGTCATTTGTTTTCAGTGTCCAAATTCACCCAATTATTGCAATTTTAATAATAAAATATTATGAATCAGTCATTTGTTTTCAGTGTCCAAATTCAGTCAATTATTGCAATTTTAATAATAAATATTATGAATCAGTCATTTGTTTTCAGTGTCCAAATTCATCCAATTATTGCAATTTTAATAATAAAATATTATGAATCAGTCATTTGTTTTCAGTGTCCAAATTCATCCAATTATTGCAATTTTAATAATAAAATAATAAGAATCAGTCTTTTGTTTCCAGTGTCCAAATTCATCTAATTATTGCAATTTTAATAATAACATATTATGAATCAGTCATTTGTTTTCAGTGTCCAAATTCAGTCAATTATTGCAATTTTAATAATAAAATAATATGCATCTGTCATTTGTTTTCAGTGTCCAAATTCTTCCAATTATGGCAATTTTAATAATAAAATAATAAGAATCAGTCATTTGTTTTCAGTGTCCAAATTCATCTAATTATTGCAATTTTAATAATAAAATATTATGAATCAGTCATTTGTTTTCAGTGTCCAAATTCATCCAGTTATTGCAATTTTAATAACAAAATAATATGAATCAGTCATTTGTTTTCAGTGTCCAAATTCACCAAATTATTGCAATTTTAATAATAAAATAATATGAATCAGTCATTTGTTTTCAGTGTCCAAATTCATCCAATTATGGCAATTTTAATAATAAAATAATATGAATCAGTCATTTGTTTTCAGTGTCCCCATTCATCCAATTATTGCAATTTTAATAATAAAATAATATGAATCAGTCATTTGTTTTCAGTGTCCAAATTCATCCAATTATGGCAATTTTAATAATAAAATAATATGAATCAGTCATTTGTTTTCAGTGTCCAAATTCATCCAATTATTGCAATTTTAATAATAAAATAATATGAATCAGTCATTTCATTTCAGTGTCCAAATTCATCCAATTATTGCAATTTTAATAATAAAATAATATGAATCAGTCATTTGTTTTCAGTATCCAAATTCACCCAATTATTGCAATTTTAATAATAAAATAATATGAATCAGTCATTTGTTTTCAGTGTCCAAATTCAGTCAATTATTGCAATTTTAATAATAAAATAATATGAATCAGTCATTTCATTTCAGTGTCCAATTTCAGTCAATTATTGCATTTTAATAATAAAATAATATGACTCAGTCATTTCATTTCAGTGTCCAAATTCAGCCAATTATTGCACACTGATGAATATTGTGTATTTCAAAATTTTATGTAAGCTTGCTCATTACACTAAATTATGTATGATGACTGAACGTTGACATTGTTGGTGTCAGGCATTTTTGAGATATTCAGTCAGTGTGATTATTACTTCAACTATCTTTGATGAACTGGACTAATTTTCTGAGTACTTAATTCAATTCAATTCAATTCAATTTAAAATAAAAAATATTTGTTGATAGTCAAACACGAATATGTGTCGTACTAACTGAAAGGATCAAAGGTCAGGTTAGGAATGCAACCATTAAACCTTTAGGGAAACTAGTGGGAGGTATGGTGAAATCTTCAGAGCAATAAAAATAAATATGGGTATTGATGTTAAAACACAAATTAGTTAGATTTTCTATAACTATTCTAGGATTTGCTTTTTGATAGTTATATATAAACCTATACACCCTCATTAATGCCTCCCTCCATATACACCTCCCTTTAAGTATACCTTTCCATCTTCACCTCCCTACATATACACTCCTCTCTCCATATACACATTCCTGTATACTGCATGCTTTATCTATTTCACCTTCTACATACACCTCCCTCCATATATAACCTCCTTTTCATATAATATCATCATCATCAGGACCCTAGCCGGTTATGCCGTTGGTGCACCCATGACTTAACATCCTTGTGCCAAGTCTTTTTATCGTGTGTTCGGTGACCTGCATTCTGCAAACTGAGGTTCGTCCACTTCTTGATGTCTTCCTGCCATGTTCTTGTTGGCCTTCCTTGCGGTCTTTTACCTTCACATATGTCCTGGATAAGGTTTCTTGACATCTTTCCTCTACTTGGTGCCTAAAAAAGGTCAATTTTCTTTTTGTCACTGTCTGCATGTAGGGTTCTTGTTTTTTGTTTGCTCTCTTGAAAGTTTTCAGTGACTCTAGTCCATACATAGTCATTACTTCTTTTTTCTTTCTATGTTATTCCCAGCAGCCTTCGATAGCATTTCATTTCAAATGCTTCTATTTTCCTCCAGACCTTGTCCGTTATTGTTATACATACAATATACCACCTTTGATATACATCTAATACCCAGTATAATAATTCCTCTATATGCATTTGTTCAAACAAATTTTAAGTTCAAATGATGGTTTCATTACCAACAGCCTGGGAAAATTCATCAATGATATTTTAAAAGAAAACAAAAATTAAACTTTTAATATTTAACATTTTTTCTAACATTTATTTTATATTTTTACAGTGTTTGTTTATTTGTTATTTGTTTGTGATGATGTATAGAATGAATAGAAAATTGTACACAATATAACATCTAAGGTCAATTACATAAAAATTATACACAACTCATAAACCCCATAAACATCTCCATGCATTCATCTCAGGTTTTATGTGTTTTTCTTGTAGGTTTGTGAAATTATTGAGATTGAGAGACTAGCGAAAGAAAAGAATGTGATCATAGCAGAAGGCTATCCTTATCTCTACCATCCACAGTTTCAAGCAATCAAACAAGAGATATCATCAGGTGATATGATAAATCAACAAACTATCTATCTATTGAAAAGTTAGACAGTAATAAAAATATTGTGTAAAAGTGAAACATTGATTCTTGAATCTTATGATGTGACACATCAAATCTTATTATTAGTCCCCGTTCGAAACGAAGTCTGAAAACAGGGACTTATAATTCGATCTCCATCCGTCCATGCGTCTGTGCGTCCGTCCGGAGTCATATCTCAGAATTCCTTGGACCGATTCCGTTCATTCTTTGCATGTGCCTAGTACTTTATGTGGGACATATGCACATGCAGTGGTTTAGCGATTCGATTCAAAATGGCCGACTGGCAGCCATCTTGTTTTTTGAAAACGTTGTATTTTGGACATGCTTTGTCAGTTTTCATTCAAACTTGGTACATAGATTATACATGTTGGGATACATGTCCCCGACCATCCGTGAGTTCTTGAGTCTGTTCATCCATCCGTCCGTGTGTCCGTCCGTCTGTCTGTTCATGCGTCATTCTGTCCAGAGTCATATTTCAGAATCCTGTGGACCGATTCTGTTCATTCTTTGCATGTGCCTAGTACCTTATGTGGGACATATGCACATGCAGTGGTTTAGCGATTCGATTCAAAATGGCCGACTGGCAGCCATCTTGTTTTTTGAAAACGTTGTATTTTGGACATGCTTTGTCAGTTTTCATTCAAACTTGGTACATAGATTATACATGTTAGGATACATGTCCCCGACCATCCGTGAGTTCTTGAGTCTGTCCGTCCATCTGTCCGTGTGTCCGTCCGTCTGTCTGTTCATGCGTCAGTCTGTCCAGAGTCATATTTCAGAATCCTGTCGACCGATTCTGTTCATTCTTTGCATGTGCCTAGTACC